TATATGGATTTTCTTTGCTTTTTTATTTCTCTTTCTGTCTGATTTCATTTCCTCTGTAATTTTAATGTGGGATACCTTAAATCTCCTGTGTAAAGAGGTAACCCCTGAGGGTGCTTGGGGTTTTTTCTTGCTCTGTGTCCCTGTGTTACCTGAGCACTGTTTCATCTCCTGGAGCTGGTATGCCTCAGTCAGTGCCACCCCAAGTCTGTGCTGCCAGATGAAAGGGGAGGGACAAGTGGCCTTCCTGTTACCATAGTTTAATTCTTTGCAACATACTACAGTGGGGCCTAGGGTGCTGATAGGATCCCCTTGTCCTGCCCATAGAAAAGCTGGGAAATGTGTGGCTGGAGCCTTCCTCCGGGGCTATTGGCTGTGCTGGTCCACTGTCTTGTGTGCCCGCAGTAGGGAGACCTTGTACGCAGCCTGGGAGCACAGTGTGGGAAGTATCTGTGGGTGACTTCATGGTCACTGTTCATCTTCGCGTTAATCTTCTTGACGTGTTGAACCCGGATCCTAGCTTCCAACTGGTAGCATTGGTCTTTGTTGTCTTGGCCTGAGGTGCTCTCCGCTGGCCCCCCATGACACTTAGTGTCCTTGGACACCTGCCTTTATTTCCTCCACTTTGTTTTCTCTGACCTGTGATTTGCTTGTACAATAGGAAGAGGCCTATTTTTCTGGTACTTTGGCACCTAAGGCACCTCAAGGTCATCCTGAATATGGCGTTGGTAGAATCAGAGACACCAGGATCTTGTGTAGGAGGAAGTAGAGGAACTCAGGGAGGAGTTTTACACCGAATATCTGGTGATCTGTGTGATTTTTCCCTAGGAAATACCTAAATGTCCTGTTTTGTTTGTGTTTTTGTTGCTGAGGATGGAACCCAGGGACTCGGGCATGCTCTACCACTGGACTATACCCCCTGCCTGATACTGATGTTTTTACAGTCAGATGCATTTTTCCATATGGAGCTTGAAAATTCATAATTGAAATATTTTTAGTTTGCCGAGAGCAAAGTTAGTAACTATGATGACCATGTATTAATTTTATTAGCATCTTCAATAGTCCCCATACTAACTAACTATCTATCTGTCTATCTAATCTGTTTATTTATTTTTCCAGTACTGGGGATCGAACTCGGGACCTTGCGCTTGCAAGGCAGGTGGCAGCACCACTGTGCTACATCCCCAGCCCTCTCCATACTTCTATAATGAATCATAATTTTATTGTTCTGAAAGTACATTATGGATGTCCTCTATATCTGCCTTGCCTTTTTCTCTTCCTCATTTTCTTCCAAGAGGATCTGGCATATTTTATGTAAAATATGTATAGTTTAATGGAGAACTGAAGCAATGGGAAAATAAATACTAAAAAAAAAAAAAAAAAAAAAAAAAAAAAAGGAAGCCTGGTTTTTACAATCTCCCAAGTCAGTCAGTACTCCAGTGTGTGCTGGCCAAAGAGATTGCAGGGCCTGGCTTCAGGAATGACCCAGGTGTCCGTGACGGTCGCAGAGGGCCTGGAGCGGATGCGACGTGATGTGTACTGGAGGGGCAGTGCAGGCCACCACCCTTCCTGCTCGCATGGCGGCCGGAAGCAGTGAGGAGCATGGAGATCCACTCGGCCACACGCCTGCCTGCCTGGACTCAGACCTCAGACCGCTCTGGGGAGCTTGGACACAGCACTTGTGTGGTCCTGAGGGTGGTGGTTCTCCTTTCCAGGTGTTCACACTCTGAATGCTGGCATCTCTGAGATTAGGGCACAGTTTCTGCAGCACAGGGGATTAAAGGTGCATCTGGTCTTCTCTCCAGAGGGAAAGGAACAACTGGCTGGTGATGGCCGTGTGTTTGATGACAGCAAGCAGAGAGGAAGGAGGGCGAGGTTCCTTCCGCTCTTCGGGGCCCTTGTTCCTGTCGGTCTCCTCCCGCAAGGTGGACGCTGTGAGAAGGGAGCGCAGGTCCATGCTGTCGCGGCTCCAGTGTCCAAGTCCAGGGTTTGGGGAATAGTGCTCACTAGAGCTAGGGAGGGGAGGGATAGAGCGTCAGCTAACAGGTGCCGAAGTGCAGTTCGACCGGAAAGAGTCCTGGTGTTCTAAGGAGATAGGGTCTGAAGCGATCTGTAATGTGTTTCAGAAGTAACTAGAAGAGTCTGGAGGTTCCCAACACATAGAAACGATCAGAGATGAGGAGGTGGAAAGCCAACTGCCTCGATTTGATGATTATGCATCATATACTTGTAGCGAATTATTATACGGTACCCTCCAAACGCGTCCAATTATGATGTGTCAGTGAAAAAGAAACCCTACACCCAGAGATTAAGGAAAAACTGAAAAGAAAAACAAAAAACGCCAAAAATCAACGCAGGGTTTTTGATGTTGGTTTTGCGGCAAGAGTTGTACTAATGAGAGTTTGTTGCCAGCCGGGTCTGTGCTCCGTCCCTTTCCCTCCTTTGACTTTGTGCACTGGCTCAGTCTTTACTTCCTGCCAGTGCTGCTGTGGGGGCAAGGAAGTATTTGTCGCTGTTTTGTCTGCTACTGCACCCTCGAGGCCTGCCAGCCTTTTGCATTGATGTAAAATAAATTACATTTATGACACCCTATGTCAACCAGCCTGCCTTCAAACTCTTGGGGTCCAGTGATGCTCCTGCCTCAGCCCCCTGGGTAGCTGGGACTGGTGGAATGTTCTATGGCTCCAACTTATGCTCTCATTAGCTGCCCTCTCATTAGCTGCCCAACGTCCATTAGGCAGAGAGGAGCAGGTCTTGTGCAATCTACTTGTAGACTTAAGAGACTGCTGTCCTGTGTGGGACTTTGATACCTCAGATGCTTGGGGCCACCTGCTCCTCTGGCCTGGGCGTGCTGAGTACTGAACGTGTGAGCGAACACTGTGCTGGCATGTGCTCAGGCCCGCTGCCCCCTGGAGCAGCATTACTAAAGAATCCACAGGCCATGCTGGGAGTCTGGAGATGGCGGACAGGGGTACTGAGTACTGCTCATAAGCACTGACAGCCTTTGTGGGAACATCTGCAGGGCAGAACACGAGCTGTCCAGAGATAAGATGTGTGAGGGCTGGGTCTTAGCTGACCCCGTGGGGGAGCATGGGTGTGCTGGCTACAGCGCTGTGGCTTTCGAGTGGAGATGAGGGGGCTCTCGACACATTCCAGGCTGGATGGTTGGCCAGACCCAGGCATGCGCACCTGGCAGGCACACAGAGAGCAAACTTGGACCTTGCTTCCTCTTCTCCCTTCCTGGTATTCACGGAGCTGGGGAGTGTGGGCGGAGGTTGATAGGTTTCCAACTAAGGGCCTCTCTCGTTCTGCCCATGTGCAGAGGCGGGGCCCACAGGGGCTCCCCTTCTGCCTTCCGTGCGGCCTACCCTCGTCTCATTCCGGGGCTGGAGCTCAGAGGGCTGGATGGGAGCTGCACCCGGCGAGACACTCACCTTTCCATTTTGCATTTTTGTGATGAATTGGATGGGATACTTTGCTCCTCATGCTTTTTGTTTTATTGTTGATGTTTTGAAAATTGCTTCTGCATTTTTCTCAGACTCAGTGATATTTCTCAAAGTACTGTGTGTTCATTTTATACATTTTGGAAATACACAGGAAAAAGGAAAATGAAGATCACATGTCACCCACCATTAACATTTTAATTCTTCCTCAGTTGTTTATTTTTATGTTTGGAGGCTGAAAAATACTTGTGTGTGTTGTGTTTTTGCTCAGTTGGGATCTGACCATGTATGTGGATTTATATCTGCCTGTCAGTGTATATTCACAGATGTGACTTTAATAGCCTTCTATCTTTTATCCACAGTCAATGACTAGATTAGTCAGCTTAGTCCATGGCCAGACATTTCAACTGTTTGTGACGTTTCCTAATTATAAGTCACATTGAACAGCACATGTAAAGTACAGTATATGTCTCAGATTATTTCTTAGTCTATGGACTGTTTTACTGTGTATTCAACGAAGCAGAGATACGTCCATGTAGGAAATAACTCCCAAGGTACAGCGCGGCTTCCTGTTCATGTTTGGGGCCCATGCATACCCCCTGCCCTGTACTGAGAGGTATTTCCTCACGAGGACGTGTCAGTCTTAAGTCTGCAGCTTTGGATAGTCAGAAGTGGGCTTTGCCTTGTTCTTTTCTAAGCGGGGACCAAAACCCCAGTCCTTCTTAATTTTTATTTTGAGACAGTCTGATCAAGTTGCCATCCTCCTGCCGTCCTGCCTCAGCCACCTAAGCAGCTGGGGTTACACATGTATCCCACGAAGGGGCTCTGCTTAGACTTGGGCTTTTTAATTGGTGACAACCGCTGTTTGTCAAAGTAAGATCTTACAGGGAAACAATTTATCAGAAAAGTCAGCAGAGGATTTCCACACATTTATTAATAAACTGTTGTAAGGAAGAGGTGAACTTGCATGTTAGGTTAGAGATATATGACTTTTTAAATTATGGTTTTATTCTTATTTTGTATTTAATTTTTTAAAATATTGTTTTCAACCGTACTTTAAAGGCCATGCTAAAACTGCAGCTCTTTCTGTGCCAGAGCCTGGAAATACAGGACAAGGACCGTGGCCCCTCATTTGTGACCCTGAGCTCGGCCTCGCGGTGGGCATCCTGCCCCTTCCAGTGCTGTGCCCTGGTTCCACATCCCTGACCTGAGCAGCTCTCAGGACCCGCCCCCGAGAAGGAAGGCTTCCTGTTCCGGTGCTGCAGCGTGGGGCTCTCCCTGTTCCCCCGAAGGGACGGCTTTCTCTTCTGTCGTCCTTCACCCCCTCTACTCCCCCGGCAGACAAGGAGAGCCTTGTTGGGGTCCAGGTTCCCCAGCTCCTTCCCTTCTGCCACCGTGGCCGGCGGCCTCAGGCTCGCTCACGGACCATGAGGTCCGCAGGCACCGAAGCCACAGGCAGCCTGTGCTTGAGGTGCCTCCACGGTGAGCTTTTGTGCTGTGCCACTTTGGGAATCAGTAGAGTAGGCCAAGGACTGCACAAGTGTCTCCATTGTTTTCTAGAGAAGAAGATGCCCAGAGAGGCCAGGCCAGCCCGGCTGTGGCGGGAGCGGAGGAACGCCATCCGGCTCACCAGCGAGCACACGGTGGAGACCCTGGTGGTGGCGGACGCCAACATGGTGCAGTACCACGGGGCGGAGGCCGCTCAGAGGTTCATCCTCACTGTCATGAATATGGTGAGTTTGGACTCTTCCGTGAGTGCTCCGGAAGCAGGTGCCGCGTCCTCATCTCAGGGGAGGCAGCAGCTGCCTGGGGGATGGTGTGCATGGTATCGTGAACCTGAACATCCGGGGCAGGCGAGCGTGGGGGTCAGTGTGCTCAGGAGGCTGTGCGCCCTGTAGTGTTTAAGTACCAATCTTCCTGGCGATGGTGAGCCGGGCACTCATTACCAGGAAGCCTTCTGTGACCTCTGCTATGCACAGGCCTCACTCCAAGGGATGTTCAGACTTGAGGGATCACAGCCCTGGTTCTCAGTAGTCAGAAGTCCAGCAGGAGGAACTGGAAACCAACTTAAATGGAAAACAGTTTCCTGTGTGCCCGAGAGCCTGAAGGAAGCGCGGAAACTCAGGGAATTGAGGGAACCAAGAAAGGAATAGTGAAGCCCTTGTCTACAGTCCATTTGTTGATAGGGAGAGAGGAAAACAAACCTTCTTTACCTGAGTGGGTGTCGAGGGGGTGCCATCTTAAGGGCATAATTCTTTGTACACATGTTGTCATGTGTCACCACCGCTCACCTCCAGAACTACCCCATCTTGAAACCCCATCCTTGTGAAACCATTCCTCTGTCTCTGAGTTTCACTACTCGAGGTTCTTCATCATAAGTGAAATTGTAAAGTATTTGTCGTTCTGTGACTGGCTTAATTTCACCGATTTACCATAAAGTCTTCAAGGTTCATCTACACTGTAGCCCGTGTCGAAATTCCCTTCCACATGTGTCCCGTTTTGTGTGTCCACTCGTCCATTGGTTCACACTTGAGTTGCTCCTACCTTTGGCTGATGATCAGTTTACATTTTTTTCAGAATTCATGTTGGAGATGTAATGTGGAAATTCAGATGTTAATGGTATTTGGAGGGTGGGCAGATAAATTAGATTAAGTCATGAGGGTGGCCCCCATGATGGCAGTCAGGACTTTATAAAAAGAGGAGAGCTCTGAACTCGCACACTGTTCTGTCTCACTGTGTGAGGTCCACTGCCGTGTAAGGGCACAGCCCTCACCAGAAGCCAAGCAGGTGCAACACCATGTTCTTAAACCTCCAGCCCTCGAGAAGCATGAACTAAATAAAGTTCTATTTGTTATGCATTATCAGAAAATGGACTGAGACAGCTATTCTGAGTAATGCTGCTGTAATGTGGGCATGTAAATATCTCTTTGGATCCTTGTTTTACGGTCTTCTGGGTATTTACCTGCAGTGGAATCGCTTCTGCTCACTTTCAGTGGCGCCTTGCCCAGGTTTGTAAGATGGTTTCTGTGCTCTCCATTTGCACGAAGCCAGGTCTCCCTTGGTGGCTGGGTAATGATGGGCTGCAGTGCTAAGTCTGCCCAGAGGAAGCCGGAGAGGAGGGCTGCTGGGGCCCGGCTCTGCCCCAGGCTCTTTCATCTGCAGATAATTTCCTCTCGTTTATTTATTTTCTAATTATCCTGGGTACAAGTGAAAGGTATAAACATTCATTACATCCACTAAGGTAGTAATAAGGCAGAGCTTCTGCTTTGATATTTGCTTTCACACTTTATCATCTGGGCAGGGACAGCTGTTTCGCCACAGGCACGGAAGGGGAGGGGATGGGCACAATACATGGAAACAGCCCCTCACTTCCCAGACCACACAGGCTGCAAGGACAGAGTGGTTCTGTCCCTTGCTTTTCATTTATCACCCTTCACTCCTCTTCAGCTGCTTACACTAATCCATCCAAGCATCAGGATTGCATGGCTGAGGGCAGATCTGGGGCCTGCACATCCAGTCTGGATTGCTTCCAGTGAGGGTGATCTTCCTGTGTGACAGCGTGAGGCAGTGGCCCTCAGCCCTTTAGCTCTCTGTACTTGGGATTTCTGGGCTGATAAGGCTAAACACAAACGAAAGCAGAGCCTGAGCACCCATCCTTGTAGCTGGCACCTTTTCCACATGACCCTTCCTGTCCCGCTTGGAGGGCTGCTGTCCTGTGCATTGAAAGACAGGTGGCCTTCGGATGTGATGCCTTGCTTTGGACGAGGCCGGCCTCCACCACCACCACCATCTCCCTTCTTTTATCCCTCACATCCCAGGTTAGGAAACCTGGAGATTTCTGCCTTGCCTCTGGCTGTGTTACAAAAGAGATTCCATGCCGAAGTGAGATAACCTGTAAGCCAGTAGGAAGGGAGGGACTGGCTAGGCCAACGAGCCCTGGCGTTAGACAGTATCCAGGAGTAGTTGCGGAAGGAATTGGTGAGTGACACGTACAGAGAAGCAGAGAGGAAGTAAAATAATAAAAAGTTTATTTTGCCAACAAAGGTCGATCACACTCAAAAAGGGAGTTCTAGTGATCATCCTGGTACTGGGTTGCAGCTTCCTCTTTTATAGGTTTTACAGCTATGATCTCATTTAGGTGGTTACATTTCATTTCCTCCATTCACATTGCCCATGTACAAATTACAGTAACAAGACAGTTAACTTTAATCCAGATGTAACAGTTCCTTGTAGTTGGGGAGTTTACCTTAAGATTCATCTGCTATCTATTCTAGTGCACGGGAAGTGGGTATTCAAGGTCAGGGATGAGGCCAGATGTCCTGTTTCACGGTCAATGCCTCCGTTGTCTGTTAATTTTGAACTAAACAAAGCAGATTGCTGTTGGAGACAGCAGAGTCATTTTACATTTTCCTAACATTTTGTAGAAAGCAGATTGCTGTTGGAGACAGCAGAGTCATTTTACATTTTCCTAACATTTTGTAGGTTTTTAGATTATTTCCAAAATTCTCTGTGTCAGAGCCGGCGTGGGAGCCGGATGCCCGCAAGCCCTCTTCCTTCTTCTGGGAGTTCTCCTGGAGCTGCAGGCCGGAGTGGCTTTGGTCCTTAATCCCCCTGGGTATGCAAGGAAACCTGCTGGAGTTGTGGCCCCCTTCTTTCCAGCACATTTCTCTCCACGCAGTGGGAAATGGTATCCTCAGTGCTGATGGCCCGGCTCCCACCCCATTCCCACCTTCCTTCCCATGTGGACCTCTGCAGGTAGAGTCCCTGCTTGCCCATGTGCGCACCTTGATCCCTAAGGTGGGACCCCGTGAGGAACCCACAGAGGCCCTGTTCCCACCATGTACTTACCCTGCTTTCTGAGCCGGGAGATTTGATCTCAGGCATTCACAGGGTTTTCACAGCATCTCCCAGCTGCAATCCCGTAGACCGGTGTCAACCCTGGCCTGATGGCCGAGTTAGAGAGGGAGGAAGGAAAGGGATGCTTGTGCTGGGCCTGCCGGCCCTGATAGCAGGTGGCTGCTTTCACATCACTGCCACCTCATTCCTGTTTTACAGAGAAGGAAGTGGAGGCTCGGGGGGGTGACAGGGCCAGTAGGCAAAGCTAGGCAAGGACTCCAACCCAGGGCAACGACCCGGTGGTACCTTGATGAAGCTGACGTGTTGGGGTCATCCTTTCTCTTCCTCTCCACCGGGACTGAGAATAGTAGGAGACAATATTTTGCCCTACTCTCCATGAAAAATAAAACAAAATCAGTCACTGCTCCAGTACTGTGACTACCACAAAGGCTGGGCTGCAGTTCGATAGAGGCTTTGATAGAAACTCTGTGATGCTCCTTCCAAGTAGCTACAGAAACTCAGTAGAACGGGATCTTGGAGAAATACTTGTGTCCCCATGGTTGTGGCAGCCTTGTTTCCAGTAGCCAAAAGGTGGAAACAGCAAAGTGACCACAGATGGATGAATGGATGAATAAAATGTGTGTGTACATTAATAAAATACTCATGCTTAAGAAGGAAGGGCATTCTGGCATATGTTACAGTGCGAAGGAACCTTGAGAACGTGATCCTGGTGAGAGAAGCTAGATACCGAGGACAAATAAAGAATAATTCTACTTGTATTGCTGGGCTGTTGTGGATTTTCCACATATGCCGAGTGCCCTTCTGCATATGTGACTTGGTTCTCCTTTGGTGAGGCCAGCGGTGACATCAGAACAAAAATGTTTGGTAAGAACAGATCACAGGTACAAACAGGTGATGCAGATGCCAGCAGCCTTGGGTTTCGGCAGCCAAATTGGGAAATGGGGCCATTTGACAGGGCTTCGGTTGTTCTTAGCTTCCTTAATGATCGTGGTGTGGACATTCCAGGCAGCTCTATTCGAAGGAAAAACGATATCAGTGTCGCCAGTTACCGTGTGAAACAGCCCCTCTGGAGACCAGCATTGCCAGCACAGTGTTAGGCTCACTGGTTGCCCCAGCAGGAGTCGGACACCCTGGGGGGCTCCTTCAACACACAGGGCCCACCACTCCCAGGGCCCTGAGTCACAGGGTCTGCGGTGGCCTCTGGAGTGTGCATCTCCAACACATGCATCAGGGGTGTTGATGCCCTGCTTTGGGGACCCCCCCCCAGAGACACTGGCAGAGAAGGTAACGTTACCCACCTTGTGTGGGGTTCTGAACAGTGCTGTGTGGGACCTGCATGCCCCTGTCTGTCCTTGGGCAAGCTCTGGCTCATGTGGGTAAGTGGTGGCCCTGTGGAAATCATGCCTAGTGTGACCAGCAGCTCCTCCCCTCCGCTCTCCCCACCTGCTCCTCTGGTCCCTGTCTGCCACCTCCCCCATCTCCCACGGTGTCCCCAAGTCACCCAGCTGGGATGGCTGCAGTGAGCTTGTTGGCAGTGGGTCCTGCTGGCGAGGAAATGTAACTAAGACAGCCAGGGATTTGAGCATTCACTGGGACACAGCCAGAGCTGGACACCAGGGAGTTTCTAGACAACTGGCTACACTGTTCGTTGCCCAGCCAGGTGTCTCCCCAAGCATCATGTGGCTGCTGCCTCCTAGACCTTTTCCTGAGTCCAGGTTCCCGTGGGAGACTCTGTGCCGTGTCTTTGAGGCTTGTGCCTGTGTTTTGAGGGTGTCAGATGTTGGTTTGGCTTTGTGTGGGGCCTTGAGGGAGACATGCGCGTCCACCCCACACTGCCCTGTGTTCTGCAGCTTGGTTGGGGTGTGGTCAGCAGTGGTGGTTGACAGCGCTTTGCTGTGTCAGGCTCCGTTCTGCTTTCTTGGTCTGGAACACCTTCATTACAGAGAGGTGCCTACCTGCAGGCTGCTATGGACTGTTATTTAGCACATGAGCTTTTTTTTTTTTTTTTTTTAAGTAAACTGCAATTTTTATTGGGACATAATATGCACAACATAAAATTTACCGTCTTAGCCTTTTTAAGTACACAGTGCAGAATTGATCATATTCATATTGCTGTCCCATCTCTAGAACTCCTCCTCCTGGCAAAACTGGCACTACCATTGAACAACTTCCCTTTTCACGTCCTCCCTGACTCCTGGAGCATGAAGCTTTCTTTCCCTCTTTTACCTTGAATCTTATTTTCTATGCATTTGTTCTGAGGGAAATGATGGCACCTTAGGGTGTGGAATATACATGGGTCTGCACTGTTCTCAGCCCAGCAAGAAGCTTGGCTGAATGGATGCTTCTAGCCATGTCCTGTGGTCTTGCTTCTTCTGATATCTGCAATCATTCCCTGCGGATTATTCATTTTTTATGCAGCAGATCAGAGCACCACTGAGAAAAGCTGTAGCACGTTGTTCCTGTAAACTTAACAATATTTTTAATGGCTTTATGTTTGGCTGCTGTTGACATTATGGGCATAGTTTATTTTTATTTTTTAGATTTTTTCGATGCCGGGAATTGGGCCTCGCGCGTCGTGAGCACACACTCTTCCACTTAGCTGCGTGCCGTCCCACCCTTCATTGTTTAGATTGCACCTTTAGAAGAAACCCTACCCAACTTGAATTTTCTCCTTCATGATGTCAAGTTTTCTTTCTTTCACATTTTCATGTTTTGAACTGAGGTTTCCCAGTTTGGGTCTAATTCTTGTGCTGAATATGTCAGGAAAAATTTGAATTAGAGCCATTGGGTGGTTCTTGAAACATCAAAACAAGGAAAAAGTTATGTGTTTTCCCCTTCTTCCCGGAGGGTTGAGGGTAGATAATGAAGACATGATTTCAGAACTGGCTTATGGTCAGGTTTAAAAAACAAAAAACAAAAAACCCTGCTTTTTTGTTCTTGAGAAAAGAAAATTTTGGGAAGAAACAAAAAGTGAGGACAGAGCAAGTGAGTATGTTCCATTGTTTTCCTTGTGGTAAAGGATATTAAGGTACACTGAGGTAGGGTTTATTTAACTCAGTAGCAGTTTTCAGTGAGCAAAGTCCGAGCTATGATAACCGCTCATCCCTGTGCCAGGTGCTTCCACTCTGTGCTCTCCTGGCTTTTAGGCTTGGTGCTGTCACTAACCAGCTCTGCATGGCCTGAGCTGACCCTGGCCACACTACCTGCAGTGGTCCGTGCTTTCTGCTGCCGCTGCTGCTGTGTTGGGCAAGGGAGGTGACACTGACTGGAAAAAGTTTTAATGCCCTCAGCACAAAAGTCTCCCTTCTGGATTATGGCTGTGATTTAGCCAAGCAGAATATTCAAAACGTTCCCGTCCCTGTTCCACTGTGTCCTGTAACTACTTCCCCCACCACCACCTTGCCCACAGAGCCTCTGAGTCCCACTTTTGCCAGATTGTGGAAGAGGAACTCAGGAGGTCAGGTGAGCTGGGGATCCTCAGATCTAATGGGCTTTCTTTGTTCAGGTCAACTTTAATGCCTCTGCATTATTTGAATTTCTCTTCATTTCTGCTCCCTGGAACACTTTCCTAGGACTTCCTGATGTTCAGGTCCTTATAATTAAGTGCTACCAAGAATAGGTGTGAATGAGGCAGTTTTGTGTTACTACAATTAAATGACTGAGGAGGGTAACATAACACAAAGAAAAGGTTTGTGGCGTTCACTGTTTTGGAGGTTCAAGGGCAAGATTGGGCAGACCATTGCTTTGGCCTATGGTGAAGACGCCGGTGGCATTGGTGGGGATGAATGTCAGAGACAGGTCATATCTCCAAGAAGCAGGACAAATGACGTCAGGGACTCCCACCAGGCCTCTCCTTCTAAAAAGTCCATAGCACCTCCCAGTAGTACCACCCTGGGGACCTTTATATATGGGGATGTTGGGGACACTCAAATTTTACTCGAATCACAGCAAGGGGCAACACAGAGAAAGACATCCTTTTCTGTTATAATGATTTGTCTCAGCGACAAATTTTGGCAAGAGTGAGAACTTCAGGGGAAAAAGGAGGAAATGGATGTTTTGGCCAGACTCGTCTGGGTTTGAGTCAAGGCATTGTGGACTGGCTCTGTGTTTCTAACAGGTGGCTTTACCTCGCTCAGTGAGCCTGTTTCCCTGCTGAGGGTGGTGCACATGCCATCCTTGCCTGGTGGTGATGAAGGCCTCAGAAGTGAACAACACATGGCAGGCATCTCTCTTCCGTCCGCTTCCAACCCCATTGTAGGAAAGCCCATGTGGGAGTTCTGAGTTTTCTGCCAGAAGCAACTAATATATATTGTTTTTCCAAAATCATGCACCCTATTCATTTTTAAAAGACCAACTGGTTTCCAGCTTAGCACTGTGTGTGCGTGTGTGTGTTTGCACATGTGTGGGTGAGTCTAGTTTTTCATCATGCATAGTTTCTTTCAGAGAATTCACTTGCAAGAGAGTTTTCTAGTCGCAGAAAAATTTTTGATAATATTGACATTATTTTTCTCACATACTATATATGTGTTTTCTTTTGTGAGAAGTCTTTATGCACACCGAAGTTTTAATTACATGTAATTATCTTAGTTTTTCTAGGACTGGAAGCGTGCAAGCTGGATTTTTAATACAGTTTTTTTATTAATAGACTTTATATTTTAGAACAGGTTCTCATTTACAGAAAATTTGAGTAGATATTACAGAATTCTCATATAGTTTCCCCAATTAACATCTTATATTAAAGTAGTTTTAAAATAGTCACTATCCATATGCCGCCATAATTTTAAAGTCCATAGTTTATCCAGATTTCCTTAGTTTTTAACCTAACATCTTCTCTTTGTTTCAAATCCCTATCCAGGATACCAGTGTATTTTAAAAATTTTATTTATATCTAGATTTCTTTTTTCTCTTTTGATAGGTATACAATATGTTTCAGCACCAGAGCCTGGGAATTAAAATTAATATTCAGGTTACCAAGCTTGTCCTGCTACGACAGCGTCCCGTAAGTACCTTGGGCACCTTTCAAAGCTTGCAGAAGATAGAACAGAGCTTCTTGTTGTTACCCAATGCTAACGAAGGCTCCAAATCTCCATCTGGAGGAGATGAGGTGTCAATACTGAACCAAGGTGCATGTGCTGCTCGTTTATTCTCATGGGAACCCTGAGCCTTGGACTCCTGCACACCCCTCCCTGCCTGGAAGGTCTTGTGTGTTGTTCTCAGACATGCGCAGAGCTTAAGGAGGTCTTTGGAATCATTGCTTCCCTCCCGGAGCTTCCACTTCAGTTGGGTTCACCATTGTTTTCTGGTCTTTTAATCGAGTACCTTCCCAGGTGACAACGCTCCCAGCTGAGTTACCTGCAGAATTGTGTTATCAGCAGGAGACTGAGGGACTTCTGTTTGCTTAGCTCACCACACTGTTCTGTTAACTAGAAAGTCACTTTTCTTTAATAACAGTCTTCATTTGAACTTACAGATAAGGTCCCTAATGATTGTCAGGGTTTCCAAAATATGCACTCATGTCAGGCTTTAATTTGGGTGCCGAGTTAGGAATGACATTTTAGTGAGCAGCTGCCCCATCTCAGCGTCCCCTCCCGGGTCTGGATGGAGGCTCTGACTTCACCGGCAGGGCGTTTCCTTCTCTGACTCCCCCCTCAATTGCTTTCAGGCCAAGTTGTCCATTGGGCACCACGGGGAGCGGTCCTTGGAGAGCTTCTGTCACTGGCAGAATGAAGAATATGGAGGTGCGCGGTACCTCAGCAACAATCAGGTCCCGGGGGGGAAGGATGATACACCCCCCGTGGATGCTGCTGTGTTTGTGACCAGGTAAACCTGGGGCCACTGGTAGCTGACTAGAGAGGGGAGGAGACATGTCCCTTTACAGGGCGGTGATATTGGGAGTTCAGCCTTGGAAGTCAAATCTTTGTCTACCTGTCTGGGCGCCAGTTTCCTCACAAGTCAACTAGGGATCCATGATGATATCTAGCTCTGAGGGCTGTGGATTAACACGAGCTCTTCCACGTGAAGCACTGTTCCCAGCACCAGTATTAGCCATTATTTGTCCTATTATTGATGACGGAAAACTACTGAAATCTTAGATAGGAAGAAGTCTTGGCAGATTCTGAGAAAATTCACCTAATATTCCTCTCCTCCACCAAATGCTGATGGTGAAATTACTGACATGGGATTGAAGCTGCTTGAGACTGGCCCCAGCATGGTTGGGGAGGAGAGTGGGTGCCCTGACATCCAGTGGGAGGAAATCTGCCCAGGCCTCACTGAGTGGGCCATTCACAGGGGCCTCTGTGGGGCCGAACCTTCTGGTGCCCATGGGAGTCACGTGCAGCCTCTATTTGAAGCAAGCAGTGAAGCTTCCGTGCAGGCTGCAGGACCAGACTTCCTCTTCTGGATTGCAAAGGAAACTGGGGCTGCAGGAGTAGATGACAGAATCCCAGGGTGGCTTCCCAAGCACAGTGGCGTGTTGGCTTTAGTTTCCTGGGGCTGCTGTAAAAATGACCACAAGCTGGATGACTTAAAATGAGGAAATATTGTATCCCCTTACAGTTTGGAGTCTATGCGTCCAAAATCAAGGTGTTAGCAGGGCTGCTGTCCCTTGCAGCTCTAGGGAAAGATCCTTCCTTCCATCCTCTGCGTCTGGGGCTTCGGGCAGTCCGTAGCATGCCCTGGTTTCTACCTGCATCCCTCTAGTCTGCCTCCATCATCATGCCTTCTCCCTGTGTGTGTGTCCCTGTGTCCGTCCTCTTAAAAGGCCACTGGTCACTGGATTAGGGCCTGCCTTGGTCCAATCTGACCACCTTTCAACTCCGTTACATCTGCAGTGACCTGTTTTCCAAAATAAAGTCACCTTCACAGGTACTGGAGGTTAGGAGTTGACCATTTCTCTTTTGGGGGACAGAAAGCACCACAGATATAGGTGTAGTTATTTCACTTGTCCCTATGTTTTAACACCTCTTTCGATTGCTTTAATAGTATAAATAGAGTTGTGATGTGTTTACATCAGTATCCACCTGTAGAAATTATGGAGAAGTGATTCTTAATATAATCTATTAGATTAAAAATGCCTAAATTTTACTAGACTTGCTAGGGATATATCAACTTTGAATTTTAGCGCTTATATTTTCTTAATTTAGAGAAATCCCCAAATTCTGTGCTACTTTTTCTGTTCTGGGTTTAGAGGTAAAGTGGTAGAAAGAACTTTATCTTGTCTTTAGCGTGAAGACAGCCTGTCCATCCAGCAAGAGTTAAATCCCATTTAGCATTTTGCTTTTTAGTCAAGACTGGCTCTTTCTTTGGATCTGCTTGGCCGCGTGCTGCACGCTCCTGGCCCAGTGACACCGCAAAGCCAGAATGGAGGTTCTGTGACACTGCCCCAGGCCCCAGGCAGTGTGGCTCCGTTTTCCGTCTAAAAGCCCACAGCATGCGCATTGCCATTGCCGGACCCCAAATGGTGCCTTCTCACCCCATTGCCAGTCCACAGGGTTCAGAGCTGCTTTGCAGCATATGTCTTTTCTGGGGGCATTTGCTGCTTGCTCAGGATGTCACTACATACATAGTGAGATGTTTTTGAAAGCATCTTGTCAATTATTTTAATACAGCTGGGGCGCGAGTGGGCAACAAGGGATGAATATGCCAGGTTTGTGGCCGTTGGTGAGTGCTGGGAACCTCCAGGTGCCACCTTCCCTGCAGCCCCAGCCAGAGCTGACAGCACTCAAGGCCCTTGGAAATGCACACTAAGGACTGCAGTGAGGGGTTAAGGGCGTCATCCTTGAGAGTAGATTCCGTTTGGTAACAAGCAGGAGTGCTGGGGAGCATGTCCTAAATTCGACTAACTTTCCAAATGAAATGAAATTAAGTCTAAAAGCCTTTCCTAGAGAGGCACTCCAAACAACACTGAAATGTAAACATCATTGGAATATGTGGTTAAACTTCCAAGTTCCCTATTTTGAAAGTGGTTTTTATAACCACTTCCGGGTTGTTTTGTTGAAGAATATTAATAACTTATGGAGATTTTTCTCTATTTTGGAAGTGTTTTCTATCTTTCTCTTGTTTCCTTTTCTTACAAGTTAAAGAAGATATCCACCATGTATCCATATTACTGATCATGTTTTGGTGATGACGATTTCAAATTTACTCACAACTTTTAAGTATATAGTAGCTATAGTCGTCGTACTGCATCATAGATCTCTGGAACTGGAGGCAGAAAGCAACTTGTTCATGGTCTTGTTTGGGGAATGAAAAGCATTATTTTCTTTTCAGAGTCAGTAAACATCACCAAAATTACGAGTTGACAAAACTTCCTGATTAGCCCTTTTGCAGAAAGCCGTGGGTAGGTATGAACGCCTGCCTTCAAACAGCTTGCTTACCACAAAAGAAATACTTTGTGTAAAATGTTCTTTTCTGTGCATCACACCTATCAGAATGGGTGCTGTAAAACAAAATCCAGAGAAATGCCAAGGGTTAGACTAATGTAGAGAAATTGGAACCCTTGTGTACTTTTGATAGGAATGTGACTCAGTTGAATTGCTCCCCCAAAAAATTAAAATGAGAGATGCATGCGATCCAGCAGTTGGGTGTATATCCCAGAGAACTGCAAGCAGGGACTCTTTGCTCACGTTAACAGCAGCATTATTCCCGGTAGACAAAAGGCGGAAGCCAGCCGATCAGTTAATGTATACACAAAATGTAGCTTAAACATGCAATAAAATACGATTCTGCCTTTTTTAAAAAAAGGAACACTTACATGTGTTGTAACGTGGATGAACTTTGAGGACGTTATGCTGAATGAAATAAGCCAGTCGCAGAAAGACGATGACTTGCCACTCATGGGTTCCCAGAGCAGTCACATTCACGGAGAGAGAAGCTGGAATATGGTTACCAGGGCTAGGAGTAGGGAAGAACGGAAAGCCCGTGTTTAAGGGAGACGGAGCTTCAGTTTAGGAAGAAGAAAAAGATCTAGAGGTGGGTGGTGGTGAAAATTGCATGGCAGTGTGACTATAATGAATACTATTGTGTACTTAATGGAGGAGGTGCTAAGTTTCATGTCATTTGTATTTTATTGTAGTGTTTTTAAATTGCTCTTTTCTAACTCGGCACACTGGGGAGAGATCCTAGTTGCATGGGTATTATTCTGGGTGAGGGTACTGGAGGTGGGAGGTCCTTATCCAGGGACAGAAAAAATGAATTTGTGTTAGCTGCAGGCAGCAGGGCTCTGGGAGGGGAGACACAGTGGCCCCCTGCCTTGCATTGTCCCCTGCCGCCTCCCCAGGAGCTGGCGTGCTCTTTCTCCACCTCTTGCTCACACATCAGAGCGACCTGAGTGGTCATGATAACTCTCACCTGCTTCTGTGGAGCGGCTGGACTGAGCAGCCTCTTCCTCTGGGTGCTGCAAATGAGAAGCTGAAGACCTCCCACAAGTTCAGGGAGGCAGTGTTGGAGCTAGCCAGGAAGTGGAGCTGGCTGAGAAGCACCGTTTAATAATTAGAGGCTGAGAGCTGCAATTCCCTGGGTTGGGATAATAATGGGCTGATGTTTTTGCAAGGAAATTGGGTGCAAGGCAGCTGCTGCTCTGGAGAAGCAATCCTTACCTTCCAGAGTAATCTGAACTGAGCATTCAGTGTCCCTGTGTCCTGGGCCTGCAACCGGCCAATGCGAGGGTTTCTTCTCTCTGTCGTTTCTCCACATGGGCTTGTCTGAGCCTGAGAACTATTCTTCTGGACACGCACAGACTGGCAGATGGCCGCAGGGAGGATGTGAGCATGACCTCATGGCCAGCAGAAGCCGCCAAGCCAGAAGCAGTGGAAGCCAGGCTTTCTGCAGCTGTGTCTGGGGCTAGAGACAGCCACTGAGTGGCCTGTGTCTGGGGCCACACGGAGAGCCGGGCCTTCCGGGGTCTAGGAACCTTGCGTGGCTTTACCTTGGGGTTCTGCACTTGACCCAAAAATACAGGAATCCAGGAGCTTCTTTCTAAGCTCAGGTCTGCATTACTGCAGTGTGCTGAGAAGACCTCCCCACCTCCCCATCTCCCCAGCAAACGTGCAGGGGAAGCCCTGGCTTCACACTGGTCCCTGCTCTTCACCCAGCCTCCCAGTTCCCTGGTCTCAGTCTTCCACCAGTCCCCTCCACTGTGTGCTCCTCACTTTCCTGAAAAGGAGCCTTTTATAGCTTTTTATGATTATTCTCTTTACATTTCCACCAAGTTCTCTTGGTTTTGGCATGTGGTCTTAAGTTTTCTACTTTTTTCCCTTTGTTAAAATAGCTTTAAAATTGATAGGGTCTGGAATCTGCTCTACAGCACAGTGCTTGAAAATTGCTGTGAGAGTTTTTAAGTGCAATATTCTCATCACAAAAGCATGATTAACAAGTGAGATGATAGACATGCCTATTTACTGGATTTAATCATTTGCCAATGTCTACATATATCAAAGAATCACATTTTACCCTATAAATATGTTCAAATTTTGTTAATAAAAACATGAAATTGACCAAAAATTGAAAACCAAAAACATGTACCTTTGTTATGGAAGTATTACAAATTTCCAGTAAGCAAAACTTGTGGAAGTTTACTGACCCACTTTGCCCCAGGCTTCTTCCTGCTTTCTCTCTGGCCACACTGTGGAAGCTGACACACGCATCCCTGCCCTGCTCTGCCCTCCTGGCCTCTCAGGTTGTCCACTGTGCCTGGTGGGATGACTTCGTCCCAAGACAACCTGGACCTGGGGTTCTACACGTCACGGTGCCAGTTGGAGCCCTTTATACCCACAGATACAGGGTCAGGGTGTAAATGGGCTGCTAGGACCTTTAGGGTTCATACCCTGAGCCTGGTACGGAGCCAAGGCTGGAGATTTTCAAGGTTCGCTCTGCTTTTGGGGGCATCCACACTGGGCTGAGAAGTGTCAGGAGTGGGTTACACCTTGGAGCTCAACACCCCGCAGTGTGCTGCGGAGTGGAGATTGCTGAGGGGCAGAGAGAGGCAGAGATGGTAAAGATGAGGTCAAGAGAATAACATGCTCCGTTGTCACTCTGTGGGAATGCAGGCTGAATCCTGCCCTCAGAGTACGTGTGTTGGGACGGGGTGGAACTGGGGAGAATGAATACCCAAGTGTAGCAGTGGGCCAGAAACTGGGAGGTGGGACCTGGGAAGGGAAGATGGGCTGCAGCCCATGCAGGGCTTCTGCTTGCTTTCATAGCTTGTCGGTCTTGTCTGGCTGGTCCTATCTCCCGTCTTAGATTTTTGTTTTGGGCCATGCTGGAGAGGAAATTGATTCCCCCAGGACTTTTGCACCGAGCTACATCCCTAGCCCTTTAAAAATTTTAAATTTTGAGACAGACAGGATCTCACTAAGTCATTAAATTGACCAAGCTAGGCTCCAGCTTGGGATCCTCCTACCTCAGCCTCCCAGAGTGCTGAGATTACAGGTGTGAGCCATTATACCTGGCTCCTTCCTAGATTTTTGAAAAAGGAAAATGAGCAGTGGTTTGAGAGCACACCTTTCCTACTGAGATTGTACTTTCAGGTATACATAATGTTGCAGGTGAGTGGGTGATGTCTCTAGGTCCTGTGAAGGTGGTTGGGGAGCCCAGAGGGGGCACTTGTAGGGCCATCTTTCTGCTCCCCAGCTCCCAGAACCTCACAGGACTCTGTTTAGCTGCTGACCCTGGGAGCTTAGGGATGAAACTGTAGGAGTGCTCATTAATGGCAAAGGACAGTTCAGACCTCTTGCTGCACCATGAGAGGTAAGAGTGAACCCCTGGGGCCCACAGAACTGGCGCTGGACCAGGTTCTGATCATCTTCGCTGTCTCATCCACAGTTGCACATCTGGGGGATCCTGGGGAGCTTTAAAGAATATGAATTTTACTAATGACTTTTGTTGTCTTCTCTTGGACATAATTCATGGTCATTACTGCATGGGAGAGAAGCTGCTCCCAAGTAGCTTGGAGAATCCACTGCAGTGTGATGATTCTGACAGTTGTCTCTGATCGGTGCCTTTAACAAACATCATCTTCCAAAACTTTTTCGGCTGCTCGAAGGAGACTTTTCAGTAACTGTTCTGTATGGGATAGCTCAGCTAGAAAAGGAGACCCTTCTGTGGATAACTGGGCTGTCTTAGTGACTTTCTCATTGCTGGGCAAAAATACATGTAACCTGCAGGTTAGTGGTGGAAAAGTTTCCATATTTTAGCTCACAGTTTGTAATGGTCCATAGTGGGCTGGCCCCAAGGCAGGATAGCATGGTGGAGGTGAAAGAGCTCATGGTGTGGCAGGCGGGAGAAAGCAAGTCCCCTTCTCTCCTGTTGTAGTCCATCCAGGTTACAAGCCAATTGGATGGTGCCCTCCACACCAAAGGTGGGTCTTCCCTCTGCAGTATATTGATTACCTACACCCAGAGCTGTGCCACACCGGTCAGTGGGCTGAGCCAGCACCACACACCCATGATCTAGTCACCTCTCGAAAGCCTCACCTATGAGCGCATGAGCCTTTGGGGGACACCTAGATACAAGACATAACATGGGCTTCCCACTTACAGATGTGGGCAGGTTACACTTGGCAAGCAGCTAGCATGATGACGCATCGCTGTGATCTGCGACAACTAGAGCAGTAACACGGCAGGACACTAATTGTGGTTAATTACAGAGTTTTCCCATTCTTAAAGGGTACTGCATGCGCCTGAATGTGTCTTTTTTTTTTTCTTTTTTAGGACGGATTTCTGCGTTCACAAAGATGAGCCATGTGACACTGTTGGTAAGTTTAGAGTTTATAATGATCTAAGAGGCTGACATATCCTGAATATTCCTGACCACACTTGCACTCTGAACCTTTCCCCAGACAAGTTCCGTATTTGCTGTTGCCTCCTTTCCTATAAATTAACTGACTGTATTTTACTTGAAAAAACTTGAGGTTGCTTATGACAAAAGACATCTAGATAAAAGGTTAAGATAGAAAATATGACAAATGAAGGGGGAAGAGCCACAGGGTTGGCCCAGGGTGTCTGTCACTGGGGACACATTTGACTGTAAGAGTTTTGTCATCCAGACAAGAAGGGTCATTTGCTGGGTTACACAGTTGTTGTTATAGACAGAAACTCAGTGGCTTCCACTCGTGCGTGCAGGTGGACTTACAGAGTACCCTGAGAGTGAAATGTGACCGCTCAGCTGTAATTCTGGTGTTTTTACCGCCTGTGGAGTCAGGCTAACTTGCTCTCTAGCCAAACTGTACAGATACCAGCATACATCGTTGGAAGAGCGTGTGCTGCTGCTTCCCTTCCTTTTCCTCCTTCCCACCTTTTCCCTTTCTGGCCATTTCCCTTTCTCTCCTGTTCTCAGTGATACCTGGTGTCAAATGGAAGCCGTTCTTCAGGTATAGGACTAGAGTATTAGGTTAATACAGGAAACACCCAGGGGATCTCCAGCTTTGTCTGGCCACAAACCTTTACCAATGAGGAAGTCAAAATATATGTTGGTAAAAGCGAAATTGTGAGCCTCATGTCCTTAGAATTGTAGTAAAACTGCAGGAAAGTAGTACAAGATTGAAAGATGTGTAATGTCATGTCGCTCGAGTGTCCACAGTCTGTGTCTGTCCTGAAGTCTCAGCTGCGGGTGCCCCGAGTCTTGCTCTGCTTATGCCGGGGCCCAGCTGAGTGACCCTGGGTAAGCTTCCACTTTTGGTTTCTTGATGAAATGATCACTTTGGATCCAGTGATTTAAAAGGCCTCTCAAAAATCTACTGTAGTCATAGTTAAAATTTGTTTCGCATGTTAGATTTTTATCAAATGATTTTTTTCTTTATTTTTATTTTTTATTTCTTCAGTTCATCGGTCCTCTAAACAGATCAGAGAGCAAAGTGCTTTGTTGTTTGGGGCTGTCACCGTAATGGATTACTAGACGGTGACAGTGTAAGACATACTTTGCTCCAGGCCTGGCTGGGGTCGAGAAGATGCGAGCGTGCTCCTTCTCTGCTTCTCCTTCTGCTGCTGCTTCTGCTGCTTCTCTTTCTGGGGTCAGCTTGGTGGCTGCCATAGCTCTTTCTGGAAGCATTTCTGTTCCCTGCTGCTGCAGGTTAGCCTGTTGGGCGGCCAGGAAAGACGGTGGTCCTCGTATAGCCCTGGCCTTGCTTCCTGCTTGCCCCAAAGACTGCACTACACAGAGCTGAGCTCTGGTCTCTAACCTGTGCGTCCTCAGCACCTGCTTCAGGGTGGGAGAGGCTCTGTCACTCACCGTTGTCAGTTGGTTGATCAAAGGAGGGAGCGAATGAGTGAACACAGATGAAGGAACTCCATTGTAATCCTTCTTCGCTCTTCACATGAGGACCGGTTAGCTGAGGGCCAAACCAGCAATCAGCTGCTTCATACTCTGTCCTTTTTCTAATATTTCTGAATCATCGTTTTCAGCTTTTACAAAGGAAGTGAATTCTTTCATGAACACAGTTGATCCTATGTAGTGTTTTATTAGTAATTATTTTAATGTGTCATAATTACCCATGCTGTCAAGTCAGGAAGAACAATGAGGTGATACTCATAAAAATTTGAAAACTGTCATATACCAGACTCAACATCCAGTTTGTTTCTGTACTTGCAGTTTCTAAAATTTGGAAATAATTATAGAATCACAAGAAATTTCCAAAATAATAGAGAGATCTCTGTTCCTGTCACCCAGCTTACTCCAGCAGTAATATCTTACATAATTCCTATGCGTTATCAGAACCAGGAAGTCAGTGGGCCCAAGACAGTGAACTATAGATCTTATTCCAGTATCACTTGTTTTTAGTATGCTTCTCTATATACAGTCAGCCCTGGATATCTATAGGCTCCTCATCACAGATCCAACCCATTGTGGTTGGGAAATGCTTGGAAAAAAGAAATGACATCTAAGCCAGGCATGGTGGCGCAGGCCTGTAATCCCAGCACTCGGGAAGCTGAGGCAGGAGGATCGCTGTGAGTTTGAGACCAGCCTGGGCTACATAGTGAGACTCTGTCTCAAAAAACCAAAAAGAAATGACATCTAAGCCAGGCATGGTGGCGCAGGCCTGTAATCCCAGCACTCGGGAAGCTGAGGCAGGAGGATCGCTGTGAGTTTGAGACCAGCCTGGGCTACATAGTGAGACTCTGTCTCAAAAAACCAAAAAGAAATGACATCTGTACTCTACATATACAGGCTCTTGTGCCCCTCCCCCTGAATTATACAGTATAACTATTTCTACAGCATTCCCACTATATTAGGTATGAATAATCTAGAGATGAGGAAGACGTGCCTAGGTCATGTGTAAATACCTCACTGTGTTATGTAAGGGAATTGAATATCCACAGATTGTGGTATCTGCAGGGATCCTGGAGCCAACCCTTACTGTATACAGAGGGACAGCTGTAGTTACGTGACATTGTATCACATGTGTAATTTGTCCATTCACCCTGACAGTCAGAATGGAACAGCTCCATTGCCCCGAGAAACTCACCCGGGCTGCCCTCTAGAGTCACTCTCTCCCTCTTCCACATACCCTAGTCCCTGGCAACCCTCAGTCTGTCTTCATCTCTGTGACTTTCTTGTCCCAGCATCCAGTTTATTTTTGTATTTTGTTTTGATTGCACAGAATGGAAAAATAATCTGAATCACAGAGATACGTACTTGCCAATGTGAGGAGATTTAAACAGCTGCCTCGGGAGCTCAGGATCCAGCTGTGTCCCGAGTTCTGCAGAAAATGAGACATCTAGTACATGAGATCACTAGGAAATCTTGGGGTTTCCACTGTTATATAACTGGGTCATAACCACATGTTTCTTATATTTATTAGGGCACAACTCTCATACAGTAAGAAGCACAAATCTTGGATTTTTCATTATACCTGCACTCTATTTTTGTTTTTTGGCTTATATGAATTGAAATGGTTTTAAAGTGATAATTTTGACTTCCATTTTAATCCGCGTCTTCTATATAGCTGTAAAATACTCTGTGCTGCTATGATCTGGATTTGGAAGGCTCCCAACAGCCAATGTGTGGCGGGCTTGGTGCCCAGCTTGACACTATTGGAAACTGGTGGAACCTTTAAGAGGCGGGGTCTAGTGGGAGGGCGTGGCCCTTAGAGGAGGGTCCTCCCAGAGGGTTGTGGGACCTGTTTCTTCTGCACTCTCCCTTGCTTTCTCTCCCTCCCCTATTTCTTGGCCACCACAAGTGAGCAGCTTCTGCCAGCTGCTCCCACCACGTTGTTACCCCTCACAGGCCCAAAAGCAATGGCATCAACCCATCGAAACCTCCACAACCAAGAGCCAGAGTAAACCTTTCCTTTTTATAGCTTGATTACTTCACTGGATTACAGTAGTGGAAAGCTAACACATATAACATACAATTTGCCATCTTAACCATTTTGAAGTGTGTAGTTTCATGGCGTTCGGTACATTCACAGTGTTATGCGATCACATGCCTCTACTCTTGAAATCACGGTACAGAGAGTAGGATCTGTCCTTCAGAAGTTTCATGCCACCCCTCTAGTCAATACTCCCCCTAGAGTGACCTATTATAAGTGTTTGTGAAACAGTTTAAAGTAGGTTTCAGAGTCAAATTTGAGCGATACTGTTACGGTTGGGGTCTGAAATATCTTCTCAGAGCCTCGTGTGTTTGGAAGGTGGTGGATGGCGGTGGATGGTGGATGGTGATGCTGCGCTCTGGGAGGACTGATCCACTGATGGTTCAGAGCTGTTAGGAGGTGGCAGCTGACCCGGCTCCTCCCTGTCTCTTCCCTTCTCTGCATCCCGGCCGCCATGACGTAAGCAGCCTCCTCCGTTCTGCCCCACTCCCCCGCCATTACTGGTTTGGACCCAGCCGACCACAGACTGTATCCAGGAGCCAAAATAAACCTCTCCTCCTCTAAGTTATGGGTGTCAGGTGTTTTGTCCCAGTGACAAAGTGACTAAGACAAATACATTGGCAGAATTTTGGAGAAATTGAATGGATTTGGGGTTCTGTGATAAATGCTTTTCTTCTCCATCACCCAGTCTGCATGAGCCCATTTTGTTGGTCTGAACTGATGAGATGAGACATGAGGCAGGGTTAGAGTTAGGAGCTGGGGCAGTGAAACGAGGTGGGCAACCCGGCTTGAAACACAGACAACACAGGAGACCCAGGAGGGTGAGGCCAGAGGTCAGTGGCAGGGCCTGCCTGGTCCGTAGGATACTGTGGCCAAGTTGGATGGCCGCTGTCTGCCCCTCCCCATCCTTACCTGCACCGGCATGAGGGTGACTGTAGCCCTTTGGACTCCCATAGGTAGACAATGGCACATTCTAGAAAGAAGAAATATGTGGGGGGGTCCCCAAAAAGGAACAGTGCACTCTGGTCAGAGTGAAGGGTGGACGCCAGGCAGTCCAGCATGACCTGTGGATAGTGCACTCCTGGTGTCTTGTAATGGTTGAAGCACAAGGCTGCCATTTCTGGATTTCACTGCAACTTCTCAGGGATCCTGTTGGTGCAGGCAGACAAAGCTGGGGTTTCCCAGGCCCTAATTCCAGGGTTGTTGGGACCCTTGCAGTGCAGAGGCCTTACCGGGCTCCTCCGTGCTGGGTGAATCCCAACCAGGTGAGGGGACACACTGTGGAAAAACCATTGCAGAGGGACCTTCTCATCCTCCCTCTTGGCCTCTTGGCAATGAGGACAGCAGGGATGTAACGTAGGAGGGTCAGCAGACAGGCATCCGTCCCTGCTTGATCCCTTCAGTGGGGTCCTCGTGCTGCACACTGCAGACCTGACCTTTGTGGGGTG